ATAATAGATGGAACGTTGCTCCAAAGCCATGCTTTAGCTCACCGATCTGATCAAAGGAATCGATGCCAGCACTTTCTACGATGGAGAATGACCAGATTGGAACGCGCAGGGGATATCAATTGATGGGTAAAATCCTTGTCCCACTTATTTGAAGGCTGCACGTTTCAACATTCAGCGAATGGAAATGCATCAAATGCAAGGGCGTCTCATCCCCGTTGATCAAAGGAAGCGCCCAGTTTTGAAAAGATAAGAACCTTGATTGGTTCTGTGGGACTGACATTCACCCTAAGAATCATCAGAGCGAAAAACGTGTTAGATGACATAACAGATTCGGTATTCTCTAGGCAGATCTATCGCCAGGACATTTGCTGGTGATTGAGAGAATCAGCTTCTTAAGGTGAAGCGAAAATAAACCCGAGGTACTAATGACAACTGTCTGACTCCTTTTAAGAGGCCCTTCTCAAGAGAATAAAAAAATGCAGTTGGCGATAAATCGTGTGTATGTTCTTGTTCGCAGTATCCCGAAACAACTTAACTTAGTGAACTAATCCCGTGGCGGTGTTTCCTCATCAAAGTGATCAGATGAAAAGCCAGGATTCGGGGCAATAACCTGGTCGGTAGACCACTCCTGATTCCAAACCAACCCAGAAGTCTCACAAACCACACACATTCGCGGTTGGAGCAGTGGTTGCCGGTTAGATTGGACATCAAGGTGCGATAGGTACGGCGGGTGTTTAACCCCCACTAGATGCAGGCAGGAACGTCTGGATGGTTCAGTACGCATCAACAGCTACGGAACGAAGCGTTTATGTTTATTCGTCGTGTTCGCGTATGCACCGACTGAATGCAGTTCACCAGAAATGAAGAATGAATTCTGCAAGAACCTCGCTCAACTGCTCTGAAGTGTTTGGTCAACGGACATCGTCGTAATCGCTAGGGACTTCAATGCACAAGTAGGATCCTTGTATGAATCAGAAAGGATTATTGGCGATTCACATACAACCCCAGCTAACCGGAATGACAACGGAAAACGCCTGCTTTAACTTTGCGCTGACCAAGGACTGTTTCTGTCCGGCAATAAATTCTCGCACAACAAACGACACCACCTTATATGGAGACTGCGAACTGCTTTACGCCACCGGACTCAAATCGCCATCAGCCACCGCTGGGGAGGATCCGTTAAAGACTGCAGCTTCTATTGGTCAACACTAGTGAAAACAGACCATGCTCTGCTACGAGCGAGATTCTTCCTACGCCATGTGAACAACGGTCGCAAGGCTACCGTGAACAGATGCTCACGATACAGTGTCAGCAACGGCCGCAAGTCGGCCTTCGATGCCAAACTATCAGACGCCTCTCAGCTCAACCATCAACCAGAGGACTCACTGAAAAACCAGACGACAATAAAGAAAGCGATCCAATCTTCGATCAACAACGACAGATTCTAGAACACGATAAAATCCAAAATGATGGATCTCTCCGACCTCGGTTGCTTTGCTGGATGCTCGTAAAGCCATTCGTTCTGATCCGAAATACGACAAAGCGCGCAAATCCCTCAAACACCAGCTCATCAAGAGTCTGAGGAATGACCGCGAGAATTGCCGGGTAGAGAAGTGTAGATAGACGGAGAAGGCTGAAGCTATCGGTGTTATTCGGAATCGTTTTCGTTTATTTAGGAGTACAGGACCAAAGAAAGTAGACGTGAGGTAGTTAAGGAATCTGACGGCACAGTCATTCTTCTTCAGCAACGCCGTCTTGCACGTTCAGGAGAACATTTTAAGGCACAATTTAGCCGTCCCCCGTCGATACAAGATCTCCCTATATTCACTTCAACCGTGTAGATACTGCCAGCTGACATCACTTCTCCGTCTGAAATGGAGGTTACCTGAGAAATAAGCTATTTTACAAGGTATAAGGCTTCCGGTCCCGATGGGCTGTCTCCATCGGTTTTCAAGGATAGACGTTCAGCATTAAACTTAGAGTCAACGAAACCCTGGGCTCAGTGTGGGAGAGGGAACAGATTCCAACTGAATGGTGTGAGTCGATGATTATACCGAGTTGCAAGAAAGGTGATAGGTCCTCTTGTGAAAACGACGAGGGAATTGGTTTATTCAATATCGTCTCTAAAATTCTTGCTAGCACTATAACCCGTCGATTATCTGCCGCACTCGAAGAGTGCACGCGTGAGAACCAGGCTGATTTTATACCCGGTCAAGGTTGTATCGACCATATCTTCACTCTCCGCCAAATTCTGGAGCATCGACATACTTTTCATAGACCCACCATCTTTGATTTTCTCGATTTCTAACTTCGTGATAGATTTAATTCTTGGAACAATCCTATCCTTGTGCGGTATCGATTTACTTCCTGGGTGGCAGACTGTTTGCTCTAGAGTATGCAGAAGACGTGTGCTGCTACGTTGCACTCATTTCTGGATTACTTGAATGCCAGTGTAGCCATATTCGGTACGCGTTTTGCACCTTCAAAGTGTAAACTGTTGTTGTTGGGCTGGTCCCGCACCCTGTCTCACGCTGACTGGGGAAGTAGCAGATGAAGTAGACAAGTTTTGCTATCTGGGCAGCTATATCTCACCTGGCGGAAGCATCACGGCGCGCATACAGAGGGCTTGGTTGGCATAAGCAGATTGAGAAATCTGAGGCGCCGTCACGACATCCGGTTTTGTGAAGGGTCGAGTATATGCCACAGTTCTGCTGTACGATAAACAGACTGAGCCACTACGGCAAAAGAATAAAAAATAGATTGTCGATGTTCGAATACCACTGTCTACATCGCATCGTAAGAGTCTGGCGGGGTAACCGGACGAGCAATGCTGAGGCTAGGCGTAGGGTTTTAGGTAGTTGTGGTCTTGCACTGGAGCAAGTGGTCGACTTCTATAGATTGTGTTGGTTGGGGCAGGTGTTGTGCATGACGCCAGATAGGTTGCCACGACGAGAGAGAGAGGGTCAAGGGCGGCCACGCGATGACTTGGCATGGGGATATGAAAACCCTAACCAGGAGACTGGATCACATAGGTACCGTTAGGCTCCCTGGATGGGGACTCCGAGATCACGGTCACCGATGGTTAGAGACACTGATGCGATATGGCTGGATGTCGCAAACTTTGGCGCTCAAGCANCTCAAGCATCTACTCATTATTCTCTGACCAAAAGTCTATAGGAATTATCTATCTTCCGCTTGAATTTGCTTTCAATATCCCAGTCTTCATCCAGCTCTTTTGTCCAAATGGGTGGCCAAAAGACAGTAACCAAAACCAGCGAATGGCTAATGGTTGTAAAAACTGAAAACTGGGTGTTTAATCCCGTCCAAAGGATGTACGGTGAGTTCAACTAGACACCGAATCCTAGTGTATTATGTTTTTCAGGATTTTGTTAGTGAAAGGCTCCGGTTTTGAATATCCAAAATTTACTCGTTTTGGCCCGAGTGACCTGAAAATATTCCGTCTACAGGGAAGTCATGGATTTTTCAAGATTATTGTACCGCGATTTGTTCGGCACACAGTCCGGAATCGGATACGTGTGAAATATGATATAA